GGCGGTGCCCCGGCCGGGGCCGAGGGCGCGGAGCCCCCTGCAGCACCCGCCCTGGGCCCCTCGGCCTCGGAGCAGGACCTGGCTGGGCGCAAGCCCCCGCGCAGCCCCCGGCCATCCAGCCGCCCCCGGCCGCGGGCCGCCGGCAGGCACATCATCCAGATCGAGAGCGCTGAGGACTGGACGGCCGAGGGGGGCTTCGGCACCAACGCGGACCCGCAGGCGCAGACGGCCATGTCGCTGCCCTACGTGCCCAAGGCGCAGACCTCCTATGGCTTCGCTACGCTGGTGGAGAGCCCCCACACACGGCGCAAAGAGTCGCTCTTCCACAGCGAGCACAGCAGCCTCTGCCCCTCGCCGGCCACCTCACCCAGCACCCAGCGCAGAGCCAAGCTCAATGGTGAGAGTGGGCCCCGGGCACCCACTGACCTGGGCGCAGCCCTCATGCACCCCGGCCGCTACTTCAGCGGCGGTGAGAGTGACACGTGCTCCTCGGCCGAGTCCTCGCCTTTTGGCTCCCCGCTGCTCTCCCGCTCCGTCTCCCTGCTGAAGATCTTCAGCCAGGAGAGCCAGTCCAAGGTCATCAAGCTGAAGCATTCGGTAGCCCGCAACAGCTCACTGTCCACCGACGACAGCTCAGCCGACACCAGTCCCAGCGCCCAGCGCCGCGCCAGGAGCGCCCCAGCTGGGGGGCGGCCGCCTGCCGCCCTGCTGCCCCTGGACCTGCCGCCGGGCCGCGACCGGGAGCACAGCCTGCGGCTCAGCCGGGGTGGGAGCCTGCGCCTGGCCGCCGAGTACGACCCTTCCAACGCCCGGCTGCGCGTGCGGCTCGTCTCCGCCGAGGACCTCTACGACGCCCTCGTCGACCTGCGCAGCATCAACTGCTGTGTCTCGCTGTGCCTCAACCCTGGGAAGCTGCAGAAGCAGCGCAGCACCATCGTCAAGAACAGCCGCAACCCCATCTTCAATGAGGATTTCTTCTTCGATGGGTTGGGCCCCGGCCACGCCAGGAAGATGTCCCTGAAGCTCAAGGTGGTCAACAAGGGCAGCAGCCTTAAGCGGGACACGCTGCTGGGGGAGAAGGAGGTGCCGCTCACTGCCCTCCTGTCCTGCCTGTAGGTGCTTGCTGCCAGCCCCAGAGGGAGCGAGCCTGCCTGCGGGGCCGGGGCGAGGGGGGGAGGCCAGCCCTGTCCCCCAGCCTCACTGGAGGACGGGGCCGTGGCAGAGCGCGGGGGTCCCCGGGGGTGGTGCTGCCATGGGGCTCTGCCAGCACCAGCCCTCCTGCGGTGAGGCAGGCAGGGCCAGCAGCCGCAGCCTCTCCCCTCTGCTCCCTCCCTGCTCCCTCCCGGGGCTGTGTCTCCTGGAGCCCAGCGGGAAGCAGGGAGCCACTGGCCCCATCTCCACCGGGAAGGATGGATGTCACCTGCTGGGCTCTTCCCTCCCTGGTGCCCGTGGTCTCCAGCTGGCCAGCACAAAGGTTGGAGGTGGGTACATCTCTGTAGCATACTTACTGCCACCTCTCTCAAAGCCCCAGATCCTGGAGTCAGGTGATAGCTTTGATCTCAGCTTTAATTTAAAAGACAAGTTTCTAGTCTTGGAAACTGCAGAGAAAATACTGCAGAGGTGACCCAAGAGTGGGCCAAGGGAGGTGACCCTGGGGGATGAGTCAGGTTTGTGGGTTTTGAGCCTTTCCTGGACTCTTCCCAGCCCTGTGGGACTACACAGATGTGCAAGGCAGCTTGGTCCAACACCCGCAGCCTCCCAGGGTGCCCTCCCTGCCCACCCCCAGCACTGTCCCCTGCTGCTGACCCCCTGCAGGAGACTGCTTACAGAGCTTCAGGGGCTTTGGGTTTGCCCAAATCCAGGAGGCTGCCTGTGCCTGTCCCCTGCCCATGGGAGGGAGATGCCGGGGGCTGGCACTGCCGTGGGGGGGCCTGGCACCCCTTGCCCTGGGCACATGGGTGGTCCCAGCAGACGTGCTTGCTGACCCAAGCCGAGGCGACAGGCGTAGCCCTCCCTGAGTGCTGGTGGTCTGGCTGGCACTGGGGACATCCCCAGGTGTTGCTGGGCAGCGGGGCAGGCTGTGGCTGTGGCTCCCTCTGCCTTCCCTCTGCCCTCCCTCACCTGCAGGGGCTCATGGGCTCGTGAGCAGCTACACCCACCAGCCAGGAGGGATGCCTCCCATGGGGCCACAAAGCCCCTGTGCCCAGTGGCATCCAGCTCCCCAAAGGGATGGGCCTGGCTCTGCAGTTTCCCTTTGGGGCAGAGTGGGGTGCTCCCACCCCTTCCCATCCCTCCCTGCCATCCCCATCAACTGGCAGGAGGCACTGGGAGTGAGGGAAATGCCAGCCGGGGCGTTTCTGTGGGTGGACAAAACAGACACCTTGTTGTTTGGTGTGGTGTTACCCATTGCATCGGGCTCTGCATGTTTCTGTAGAAGGGAGCAGAATTTGCAGTGCTCCTGTCCCTGCCTGTTGCAGCATGTGTGGACACACGCACACACGTGTCCCTCTGTGTTAACCTCTGTCGGTGGCAGTTGATGTTCCTTCCTTGTCCTTTGCAGCAGATGGCAGATTTCAGTGTTGGCTATTTATATCTGAGGCTGATCTTTCCCAGCGTGTTTTACTTCTGTCTGTAAATATGTTTCAGGTACACGAGGCATGGTTCTGATAGCGTGGTGTTTGCATGTCGGGGGGATTTGGGGTGATCGTGGCTGTTTGTTGAGCTTGTGGCTGAAAACAAACTGTGCAGGACGTAAGGAGCAGACACGTCTCTCCTGCATGGGGGATTTCCCACCTGAGGCTTCTCACTGCTCCCCCAGGAGCCAACACAGGGGATGCTCCCGGCCCCCGAGGGCCCAGGCTCGCCCTGGGGGCAGACGGGGGCTCTGGGGAGGGTGGGACGGGGAGATGGGCCACGTCCCTGGGCTGGGAGCGAGCATCCTGCCCCTGGGCAGACCCAGGGCAGGAAGGGGACCCTGCCTGGCCAGCTGCTGCCCCGTGCGCCCCTCACCAGCACCCTGTGGTCCCCGGCGTGCTGCGGTCCCCAGGATGCTGTGCCTGCTAGGGGCTGGTGGGACCCAGGCGTGGCTGGGGGCTGCAAGGGAAGGGGGAATAGGAGCTGGGCAAAGATTTTGGTGCTCTATGAGAGGGTTGGGGAGTAATGCATCCCCCATGGCAGAGCTGCGTGCCTTTGAGTTAGGGGAAGGGGGATGATGAGAGCAGGGCCCTGGGCTGCTCCTTGGGTTGGGGCTGGCCCTGGGGGGAGACCCAAGGGCATGGGGGCTTGTGCTGTGTTCCCCCCGCCTGTCCCAGGGCTGCCTTGCTGGAGCCGAGTGGCATGTGGCTGTCCGCCAAGCCCTGGGATGTGCTGCTGTGAGCCCCACTCCTGTGACAGGCAGGAGGGCGGCGTGGGAGCCGGGACTGTGGCCTGGCTGGGTCCTTCCTCCCCTGTAGCTCTTTTCTACTGTTCCTGCTTTGATATTTCTGTGGCTAGATTTAATGATGCATTTTTGGAGTGAAAAAAATATATTAATACCTGAATGGAATGTTTGTTTACAGATGACTTCCCCTTTTTAGTGCAATAAAGTAATTTCTAAAACAGATGCAGGTGGTGCCCCTGCTGCTGGTTTCCCTGAGGCATTCCCTTTGCTTTTCATCGTTCTGGCTGCAGCATCCCTCTGGCCCTGTTGCCTTCCCCGTCGGCTCCCTGGGCTGTGGAGGGGTGGGGGAGCAGAGCTGGGACCTTGGGACTGCCCAGCCATGGAGCAGCAACTGCTCTTCTGGGTGGTGCTGCCTGTTCCTGACAGCCTTGCAGGGGTTCAAAACGCTTCAGAAGCTCTTCCCTGGTGCTGCTGACCAGCCATGGGGTGAGGCGGGAGCAAATCTCCCAGGGAGAACAGGGGATGTGGGGAAAGGGGCTGTTCCTGTGTAGGGGGGACCTGGGGCCCTCCCAGCTGGGGCAGAGCTGAGCCAGGGCACTGCCTGCACGGGGACGGGGTGGTGGTGAGGGAGAGCCCCTTCCCACGCTCCCGCGGGAGTCCTTCCTCCTCCTCGCTGGCTCCCCCAGCCTGGCCCTTGCGCTCCTTCTCAGCGGTGCTGGTGATTGTGATGTGATCATGTTTTTGATATGTGATATGATGATGTTTTTGTGCTCCCCGTCAGCAGCGGGCTGCGTGGGCTGGAGTGCTGCCCATGCGGGGGCTGGGTGCCCAGCACCCCCAGCCCTGGGGCTGCCCTCACGGGGGCTCTTTGGGGCACAGCTGAGTTCTGACCCCATGGCAGCGCAGGGGTGGAAGCCCTCCCTGCCGCTCTCTGAGCTTCACAGCCCTTTTGCCCTCCAAACCCCGGCACCTCGGGCCGGCTCCTGCACAGCAGTGATCTGTTCTGGCAGTGTTTTGGCGTGAAAACAAACCTGATGGTTTCTGCCCAGCCATGCCCGTGCTGCGGTGCTGCCGGAATGTGTCTCCCAAGTACTCCGTGGCACGAGCAACATGGATGTTGGATGAGCAGCTCCTGGGGCGTCCTCTGGACCATTTCCCTCCCCTGCCCCTCCAGGGCCCCCCCCGCCTGGCTGCTGACGTTCAGCAGATTACCCTGTTCTTTTCCCCACCTTCCATTTCCAAATCTGCTTTTAACCAGACACTGCTGAAGAAGAGAGGGAGGCTTTTCTGTTACCTAAATGCCATTTTTCTAATTTCCACCATTCTAATAATTTGTCATTTTTGGTAGAAATAAAGGCTGGGAGCACTAAACAGATCCACCCTCTCTCCTCCTGCCCCCACAGGGGCAGAGAAAGCAGCGTGGTGAGAGCTTGGCAGGTGCTAATAATTTAAGTAGTGCTTTTTCTAGAGGTGTAAAGCTACAGCAGTTAGCAATAAAATGAGGCTGATTAAGTTAGTCTGAACTAGAGTGGATGGGGTCAGCTTGAACACATGAAAAATCCCTGGAAAGTGTTCAACATTCAAAGTACTGGAAGCAGTCAGAGGGGTGGAGAGGGCCGTCTTGTGGGGGAAGATTTAACTCTGAATTTGTAATCGAGTCATTGTGGGAAGGAAATGCGGCCACCTTGCTGGACCCAGGAGGGCTGGGGTCTGGCTGAGGTGAGCCGCTGAATTGGAAGGTGCTGGTGGTGGCTGGGGGGGAGCAGGGGGATATGTCCCCTCTCTGCAATGCAGCCCCTCGGGATGGAGGATGCCCGGATGAAGCGCAGCCGTTGGAGGCTGCCAGGTGAGAGCCTGAGGCCGAGGGCGGCTCTGCCCATCGCCAGCAATGCCCACGCCGAGGGATGCTCGAGCCCCGGGAGCTTTCCCCTGATGGGGGGTTTCCCTGGCTGGGGGTACCCAGGCCGACGCAGCCGTGCATGGGTTGTGCAGGGGGATGGCACAGTGCACGTTTGGGTGGCACAATCTGTGCAGGAAACTGAGGCAGAGAGGGGAGATGGCTGGATGCGGAGGAGCCGATGGCAGCTGCTGCCTCCTTTACCCTTATCTCCAGAGCAAGATTCACCTGGGCGAGACATGCACGCACAGACCTTGTCTATTCTTAGTCCTGTGTTCCTACAATGCAAGGACTCAACTTCTGAGAAAATTGCCTGGAGCTCATTTAGCTGTGTGCGTGATGGCTGGTGAGGGAGGGAGAGGGCAAATTAGAGGCTCAATCTTATACTGGGTGCGTGGTGAAGCCAGGACTCCCCAGGGAGGGTTTCCCAGGGAGGAGGCCAGCAGGGCTGTCCCTGCAGGAGGGCACCCTGTCCCTTCCCTGTCCTCCAGCCAGGCAGGGGCGTCCAAGGGCTGAGTGCTGTCCCCAGACGATGTTCAGGGGTCCTAAGTAGGGGCTGGGGCAGCTTTTGGCTGAGTGGGGCAGCAACGGCTGGTTAACCTCTCCAGATTTTCAGGTGCTGTCCGGTCTGGGGGAGCCCCGAGTCCCTCCCTGCGTAGCCCCAGCCCTGTGGCACTGTGTTCCCCCCTACCCGACCCCGCTGACGATTTACTGTTTTGGTCAGAAAAAGCATCTTCCCGTTGCCTGGCAACCCTCGGCTGCTGGTCCAGCGGCGGGGGGGGCTCTCTCCTGCCCGCAGCCCCCGCTGTGCCAGGGGCGAGGGGCTGCGGGGGCTGCTCG